TACAGACACTTCGGGTTGCGCGATTTCAGGTTGAGCATCATGCCGAACCCGGAAGTACCAGAATGGGTTACTTCTGGGTTTCGGCAGTTGTGCATGCGCAGAAGCACTAAATCGCGCTTTGTGCATGCACAGAAGCACCGAATAGCAACCCGCACGTGCGCAGATGCGGCGCTGTGGGTTGCAGACGTGCTTCCTGCACAGATCACGTTCACAACCCGAGTGTCCACTGTATTTGTGCACCTGGTTCTTCCTGCCTAAGTGCAGAAGCTGACACGTGTCTCTATGTAAATCCATTTTGTTACATGTGGCCCAATTCTGCAATCTATTAAGGTCATCCTGATCCTATTTTCTCAGGTATTAATTAGCCAGCCCTCCCAGTTTGGTGTCATCTGCAAATCTGATGGGCTTCCCCTAAATTCCTTCAGTTATACAACAATGTCGAACAACACCCCGCAGCACCCCACTTGTCACTTTCTCCCCACTTTCTCCCCAGGTGCTGAGCACGCTTTCAGATGGTCAAACAGCTACAAATCCTCCTAACAGAAACATTGCCTAGCCTGAATTTTACCAGCCTCCCCACAAGAATATCATGGGGGGGGGGGGGCTTTGTCACATGGCTTGGTTTCCAGAAAGGTTTGCTGGTTTGTGCTGGAATCCCACCCGTGAAATAGTGTGGGAATGTTCAGGGATGCATCAGGCTATTGTCTGATTATAGCCTTTCCAACTTGTGTAAACAAGTTCACAATTTAGCAGAGTAACCTTCCCCTTTTTAAATTCGCAGCGGATGCCTTTGCACAGGCTCGCTAAAGCCTCTATAATAACTGTTCTGGTATTTCCCCCTTATTCCCTCATCAAAGATAGGACACAACACAGTCTTCTATAAAAGTATAAAAAGGTTTACTCACACATCATTCTGTTCACAATCGGATCCCAGAAGGCAGACTTAGCTTAGAAAAGTAACATACACCTGGAAACTATCTCATAAGGAGACAGTCCCTTTCTCCTCTCTTGGCTGGAGGCCAGGAGAGCATCTTTGGCTAAACAGATGTTGCTTCTTCGATGCATGTAGTCAAAGAGAGAGAGATGGCTGCTCTGCCCTGTGCTTTTGTCATTACCTGCACAGGTGAGGCCACTCCCACCTCTAGTCACATACAGAGGAAGTCTGTCCCAGCCCAGAAGGAAACAGGAAGTTTACCTGCTGGCTGGACAAACATTCCTCTCCATGTGTAAACATGTTCACTCTAGGAATGTTGTACTTGACTGCTCTTGTGTTTCACATCCCACAGTGAGAAGCCTGGAAGCGGCTCTCCTTCCTCGGAGGTTTTAAAGCAGAGCTCAGATGGCCACCTGCCATGAGCTGAGATTCCTTGCATTGCAGGGGGTTGGGCTGGATGACCTTTGGGGGTCCCTTCACAGCCTACAACTCTATGATTCTAAGCTTGCTTTTTTTTCCCCCACAGCAATGTGCTTTGGCCTCGCACAAGCCCACATCCCACCCAACGTGGCGCCACTGGAACATGTTGTGTGGGGAGGGGGACACATGGTTCCTGTTGATCAGAGCCCTTCTGTTCTCCTGGGTCTCCAGATGTTGTGCAGATCGTGCCCCAAAGCATTTCCTCTCCATTCTCTTTTCTTTTCCTCCCTTTGTTTCCCCTTCTGGGCCACATCCAGACTGGCGGTCGGAGGCGGCTGTGCCTGAGAAAGTGCTGAGCGACTTTGCTGAGTCTCCCTAATCTGACCCAGGAGAGGCAGATTGCTGGCAGGGGAGCTTCTCATTTCGGGGGTCCAGAAATGGCACAAACTGGGAGGTTTTTCGGGTGCCGTTCTGCCAATGAAAAGTGCAATGCAGGAGGAGCTGTCGGGACAGAGGATCACAACTATGCCCTGCAAAACCAGAACTTGCCCATTGGCGTTCGACAAAAGATTGTGATCTGTGATCTGTGCCATTTGCTGCCCTCGGCATAATTCCCGAAGGCCTTGCAAGAATGTAAGAAGTGCCTTTTGGATCAGGCCATTGGCCCACCAAATAGGACTAGGAATGACAATAATAATAATAATAATAATAATAATAATAATAATAATAATAATGTAGAATTTGTACCCTGCCCTTCCTGCCAAAGGAGCCCAGGGCAGCAAGAATGGAAAGGCTCTTTTCCAACGGCGCTAGAGAGCCATGGCTCATTGGAGGAGACCAACCAGATGTTGCCCTCCAGATGTAGATGGGCATCAGCCAGGCTGGCCAATGGTGAAGGGCGATGGGAGCTGCAGCTGAACAACTTCTTGCGGGGCACCAGGTTGGGAAGGCTGGTGCAGATGATCTTGGGACAGGGGTTTGAGCTGCGCTCTGTTTTGTGACTCCTAACACATTATCTTGAAATTAATGTTATTATTTATTCAATTTATATACCGCTCTTTATCCAAAGATCCCAGGGCGTTGTACAACATTACGAGCATACAGTGGTACCTCGGGTTACATACGCTTCAGGTTACAGACTCTGCTAACCCAGAAATAGTACCTCGGGTTAAGAACTTTGCTTCAGGATGAGAACAGAAATCACGCGGCGGGAGCAGCAGGAGGCCCCATTAGCTAAAGTGGTGCTTCAGGTTAAGAACAGTTTCAGGTTAAGAACAGACCTCTGGAACGAATTAAATACTTAACCCGAGGTACCACTGTATTACAGAGCATCGATAATAAAAATGTAATAAAAAGCATAGTAGCGGACAGAATAATAAAAGAATCATAATTCTTTAACAGCTTTAACAGCCATAGATTATTCAGTAGCCAAAGGCCTGTGTAAAGAGGAATGTTTTTGCCTGGCGCCTAAAGTCATGTAATGATGGCACCAGGCGAGCTTCTCTGGGGAGAGCATTCCACAGTCAGGGAGCCACCACTGAAAAGGCCCCGTTCTCTGAAACTCTCTGGGATGGGGGTCATTGAGAAGGGCCCCAGATAACAAGCGCAGGGTCTGAGTCGGTTCGTATGGGGAGGGGCAGTCCTTAAGGTATAGTATTGAGATCCTGAGCCGTGTTGCATTTTATTCCCTATGATGTTGTGAGCCACTCCTTGTTCAGCTGTGGAAAGGGGCACAACCAAGAATTCGTGATGGCACTCTTCTGCGCCATGGCTGCTGTCCTCCCTGACCCATTGGCCGGGTTGGCTACTGGGGCTGATGGGTTTGGCAGCCCCAACATCTAGAGGGCACCCCCAGGCCTGGAAGGCTGAGCCCCTGCCAGAAAGCTGGCATCCGAGCCTTATCTTCAGCTGAGCCCATTCTGTCCAGGCTTTGGGCAGGGCCCCTGCCAGGCCCGGATCCCTCGAAAAGAAACAATCAGTGAGGGAGGAAAAGGCTCTGACGATAACGGCATTTGGTTGTTCTGTTCTGTCCCGCTAATCGCTCTCTCCCACTCTCTGCTGATAACCAAAGTTGCAGGAGGCAGTGATGGGGACTTAGGGTCATCTGGTACCTTGACTGTGCCGGGGGGAGGGGATTTGGGGAAGGGTCGTGGCTCACTGGTAGAAGGTCCCAGGTTCAAATCAGGGTTAGAAATCAGGCTGGTGCGTTTTGCGACTGGCACAGATCCAGTCGAGGCCGCATGGAAATCTCTGGGTGCTGGGCTGGCGACTGGGGAAAGCAAAAAGAGACAGATCTGGAATATTTTCCTTGAAGCTTGAATTTGGATTGTTTTATTTGATGTTTTAATGGGTGCTAAAGGGTTCTGAATTTTTTCCCATCATATATAAAACTGATCCTGAATGGGGTAACTGTGCCGCTGAAGGACCAGGTGCACAGTCTGGGAGTCATTCTGGACTCACAGCTGTCCATGGAGGTGCAGGTCAATTCTGTGACCAGGGCAGCCAGTCTACCAGCTCCACCTGGTATGCAGGTTGAGACCCTACCTGCCCACAGACTGTCTCGCCAGAGTGGTGCATGCTCTGGTTATCTCCCGCTTGGACTACTGCAACGCGCTCTACATGGGGATACCTTTGAAGGTGACCCGGAAACTGCAATTAATCCAGAATGCGGCAGCTAGACTGGTGACTGGGAGTAGCCGCCGGGACCACATAACACTGGTCTTGAAAGACCTATACTGGCTCCCAGTATGTTTCCGAGCACAATTCAAAGTGTTGGTGCTGACCTTGAAAGCCCTAAACGGCCTCAGTCCAGTATACCTGAAGGAGCGTCTCCACCCCCATCGTTCAGCCCAGACACTGAGGTCCTCTTCCGAGGGCTTTCTGGCGGTTCCCTCGCTGCGAGAAGCGAGGTTACAGGGAACCAGGCAGAGGGCCTTCTTGGTAGTGGCACCCACCCTGTGGAACACCCTCCCATCAGATGTCAAAGAGATAAACAACTACCTGACATCATTCAGAAGACATCTTAAGGCAGCCCTGTTCATGGAAGTTTTTAATACGTAACGCTGTATTGTTTTTAACACTTAATTGGGAGCCGTCCAGAGTGGCTGGGGAAACTCAGCCAGATGGGCGGGGTATAAATATATTATTATTATTATTATTATTATTATTATTATTATTAAACGGTATAGAAATGAAATTGATCATCATCATCATCATCTCCACTGACAAATAAAGGTGCCTAAACGTTCCATTGTGGCAGCTGTAACCTAGGTTTAAGGTGCCATTTGGCAATTGGATTATATATATGAGTTTCTAACGCTGGGTTCACTCCCTGGTAGAGCTGGGAGAGACTTTTCTTTGAACTTCCAGACAGCTGCTGCCAGCCAGTGTAGGCAGTACTAAGTTAGATGGGCCAATGATCTGACTTGGTATTAGGCAGCTTCCTCTGTTCCTATGAGTTAGCGTTCACTCGCTTTTCTCCTGCCCTCAGAAATCCAGCAGAAGCCTCTCTTATTTAATCCCACCTTCTTCCTCCAAGGAACTCAAGACGGCCTGCAAGGTTCTCCTCCACCCTGTTTTATTCTCACAACCACCCTGTAAGGTAGGCCAGACTGAGAAGCAGTGGCTGGTTGCCCAGTGAGCTTCACGGCTGAGTGGGGATTTGAACCCTGATCTTCCAGGTTATAGTCTGACACTCTAACCACTGGGCCACACTGGCTCTTGATTTGTAGATAGGAAGAGGGCTACCACACCTGCTGAATTTCTGCCTGCAATGCTGAACCTACAATGAAGAACTTAAGAAGAGGCTGCTGGATCAGGCCAGTGGCCGAGTAGACGCCCATTTAAAATGCGTTTGGGTGGGGCGAATTATTGGGTTGCTCTTGTTTTTATTTTTATTTTTGTATTTTATGTTTTTATATTGTGATTTTATCTTGCCCTGAGACCTGCGGGTATAGGGTGGTATACTACTATTACTACTACAGTGGTACCTCGGGTTAAGAACTTAATTCGTTCTGGAGGTCCGTTCTTAACCTGAAACTGTTCTTAACCTGAAGCACCACTTTAGTGAATGGGGCCTCCCGCTGCTGCCGTGCGATTTCTGTTCTCATCCTGAAGCAAAGTTCTTAACCTGAGGTACAATTTCTGGGTTAGCAGAGTCTGTAACCTGAAGCGTCTGTAACCTGAGGTACCACTGTAATAGAAAACTCACAAGCAGGACCCAAGCACAAGAGCAACTCTCCCCAAAACTCTGGCGAGAGGATATACGATTTACTGCCTCATACAATTAAAGAAAATTTTGTAAAGATATTCTATGGGTGGTACTTAACACCAGTTAAGTTGGCAAAGATATATACCGTATTTTTCGCTCTATAAGACGCACCAGACCACAAGACACAGCTAGTTTTTGGAGGAAGAAAACAAGAAAAAAAATATTCTGAATCTCAGAAGCCAGAACAGCAAGAGGAATCGCTGCGCAGTGAAAGCAGCAATCTCTTTTGCTGTTCTGGCTTCTGGGATAGCTGCACAGCCTGCATTCGCTCCATAAGACGCACACACATTTCCCCTTACTTTTTAGGAGGGAAAAAGTGAGTCTTATAGAGCAAAAAATATGGTAAATTGAAATCCAACCTCTGTCGGAGATGTGGTGGAGAAATAGGAACAACAATACATATGTGGTGGAGGTGTGAGGAAATTAAGAAATTTTGGATAGTAGTACATGAAGAACTAAAGAAGATGTTGAAAATATCAATAACAAAGAAACTAAAGACATATCTCCTTGGATTGATAGATGAAGAGATACCACGGGGGGGGGGAAGAATTTTTCTATATGCAAGTACAGCTGCTAGAATAGTGATTGCTGCTAGGTGGAAGTCACAAACTATACCCACAAAGGAGGAATGGATTTGTAAACTAAATGGATATTTAATTTTGGCAAAATTAACTGCTATAATAAGAAATCAGTTGAATCGAAAATTAAAAAAGGAGTGGAAATGCGTTGATGAATATATGGCAAAATATTGCTCAAAGAAAGATACGCTAATATTCCTGGATTAAAATATGAAGTACTGGGTGGAAGAAAAATGAGTAAGGAAAGATAATAAGAATATATAGATGATTTGAGAAGATTGTAGAATGCAAAGATTATTGTAAATTGTATAACGTGGAGGAAATCGATTGGGGGCGGAGGGAAGTGGGAGGAAGGAGAAAAGAATACACTAATGCGCAAAGCATGGGAAATAAACAAGATGAGCTTGAGCTCTTGGTACAGCAAACTAAATATGACATAATAGGCATCACTGAAACCTGGTGGGATAAGTGCCACGATTGGAATGTAATAATGGAGGGATACAATCTATTTCAGAGAAACAGACCAGACAAGAAAGGAGGAGGAGTGGCGTTATATGTCAGGGATGTGTATACCTGTGAAGAGATCCAAGATTTAGAACCTCAAAGCCAAAGTGAGAGCATTTGGGTCAAAATTAAGGGAGAGAAGAATAACAGTGACCTCATTGTGGGAGTTTACTATAGATCCCCAAGCCAAACGGAGGACATAGATGATGCCTTCCTGGAACAGATGGCCAAGCATGCAAAAGGAAGGAGATAGTAGTAATGGGGGACTTCAGTTACCCGGATATTTGTTGGATGTCAAACTCAGCCAAGAGCATAAGGTCAAACAGATTCCTCAATGGCCTTGCAGACAACTTCATTGTCCAGAAAGTGGGAGAAGCAACAAGAGGAACAGCCATTTTAGATCTGGTCCTAACCAATGTTGATGACCTGGTTAGTGGGGTAGAAGTGGAAGGATCATTAGGCGCGAGTGATCATGCTCTTCTGAAGTTTACTATACAGCAGAAAGGAGCAGCCAAGCATACTAGGACTCAATTTCTTGACTTTAAGAAAGCCGACTTCATAAAACTTAGGGAAGTGCTGGGCAAGATCCCATGGACAGTAATACTAAAAGGAAAGGGAGTTCATGATGGCTGGGAGTTTGTTAAGAGGGAGATAGTAAAAGCACAACTTCAGGCAATACCAATGAGACGGAAACATGGAAGGTGCCTAAAGAAGCCAGGGTGGCTATCTAAAGAACTTTTAACTGGGTTAAGATTAAAAAAGGATGTGTACAAAAAATGGAAAAGGGGGAAAGCACCAAATAGGAATTCAAACAAATAGCCAGCACGTGTAGACACAAAGTCAGAAAAGCTAAAGCACAGAATGAACTCAGGCTTGCTAGAGAGGTTAAAAGCAACAAAAAGGCTTTTATGGGTATGTTTGTAGCAAAAGGAAGAACAAAGAAACAGTGGGGTCACTCAGAGGAGAAGATGGTGAAATGCAAACAGGGGACACAGAAAGGGCTGAACTCCTCAATGCCTTCTTTGCCTCAGTCTTCTCCGATAAAGAAAACAATGCCCGACCTGAAGAATTTGGAGCAAATGATTCAGCAAAGGAAACACAGCCCAGAATAACTAAGGAGATAGTACAAGAATACTTGGCTAGTCTAGATGTATTCAAGTCTCCAGGGCCAGATGAACTGCATCCAAGAGTATTAAAAGAACTGGCAGATGTGATCTCAGAACCACTGGCAGTCATCTTTGAGAATTCCTGGAGAACAGGCGAAGTCCCGGCAGACTGGAGGAGGGCAAATGTTGTCCCTATTTTCAAAAAGGGGAAAAGAGAGGACCCAAATAATTACCGCCCAGTCAGTCTGACATCAATACCAGGGAAGATTCTGGAGCAGATCATTAAGCAAACAGTCTGTGAGCACCTAGAAAGGAATGCTGTGATCACCAATAGTCAGCATGGATTTCTGAAAAATAAGTCATGTCAGACTAACCTGATCTCGTTTTTGACAGAATTACAAGCCTGGTAGATGAAGGGAACGCAGTGGATGTAGCCTACCTTGATTTCAGCAAGGCATTTGACAAGGTGCCCCATGATATTCTTGTAAAGAAGCTGGCAAAATGCGGTCTTGACTATGCTACCACTCAGTGGATTTGTAACTGGCTGACTGACCGAACCCAAAGGGTGCTCATCAATGGTTCCTCTTCATCCTGGAGAAGAGTGACTAGTGGGGTGCCACAGGGTTCTGTCTTGGGCCCGGTCTTATTCAACATCTTTATCAACGACTTGGATGATGGACTCAAGGGCATCCTGATCAAATTTGCAGATGACACCAAACTGGGAGGGGTGGCTAACACCCCAGAGGACAGGATCACACTTCAAAACGACCTTGACAGATTAGAGAACTGGGCCAAAACAAACAAGATGAATTTTAACAGGGAGAAATGTAAAGTATTGCACTTGGGCAAAAAAAATGAGAGGCACAAATACAAGATAGGTGACACCTGGCTTGAGAGCAGTACATGTGAAAAGGATCTAGGAGTCTTGGTTGACCACAAACTTGACATGAGCCAACAGTGTGACGCGGCAGCTACAAAGCCAATGCAATTCTGGGCTGCATCAATAGGAGTATAGCATCTAGATCAAGGGAAGTAATAGTGCCACTGAATATGCTCTGGTCAGACCTCACCTGGAGTACTGTGTCCAGTTCTGGGCACCACAGTTCAAGAAGGACACTGACAAACTGGAACTTGTCCAGAGGAGGGCAACCAAAATGGTCAAAGGCCTGGAAACGATGCCTTATGAGGAACGGCTAAGGGAGCTGGGCATGTTTAGCCTGGAGAAGAGGAGGTTAAGGAGTGATATGATAGCCATGTTCAAATATATAAAAGGATGTCATATAGAGGAGGGAGAAAGGTTGTTTTCTGCTGCTCCAGAGAAGTGGACACGGAGCAATGGATCCAAACTACAAGAAAGAAGGTTCCACCTAAACATTAGGAAGAACTTCCTGACAGTAAGAGCTGTTCAACAGTGGAATTTGCTGCCAAGGAGTGTGGTGGAGTCTCCTTCTTTGGAGGTCTTTAAGCAGAGGCTTGACAACCATATGTCAGGAGTGCTCTGATGGTGTTTCCTGCTTGGCAGGGGGTTGGACTCGATGGCCCTTGTGGTCTCTTCCAACTCTATGATTCTATGATTCTATTCTATGATTCTATGAATAATATGATGGATTGAGGAAATGTAAATGTAAATGTATGGGAGGATGGGGAGGAAATGGTGTTGGCTTTGGTACATCTGTATTGTAATGTAATATCTGAAAACCAATAAAGAAGAAGAAGAAGAAGAAGAAGAAGAAGAAGAAGAAGAAGAAGAAGAAGAAGAAATAATAAATCACAAGAGCAACTCTCCCCTCCTGTGGTTTCCAGAAACCAGCATTCAGAAGCATTGATGCCTCCAACTGTGGACCAGAGCAGAGCCACCATGACTAACAGCCTTTGATAGCCCTCTCCTCTTCCTCTGTGAATTTGTCTTATCCTCTTTTAAAGCCATTTAGGTTGGTGGCCTCCTGTGGCAGGGAGTTCCATAGTTTAACTGTGTTCTGCATGAAGAAGTCCTTCCGTTCCGGCCCCTAATCTTCCAGCATCCAGCCTTATGAGATGTCCCAGAGTTGTAGAGTTAGGGGAAAGGGAGAAAAAGTTTTCTGTATCCGGGGTTGGCGAAGGCAGAGCGAGGGAGAAGAGCTGGAGGCAGCTGGGTGCACTCTTCCCACCTTGGATCAAATCTATGCTTCCAGGTGCCATAAGGAAGCTGCAGAGATAGCGCAGGATAGTGCGCACCCCGGAAATGATCTCTTTCAGCTTCTGCCTTCTGGAAGAAGTAAAG